CTCATAAACCAGCTGGTTGGGAAACCATTTCAAAGGTGCTGCTAATAGTGTCTGTTATAGCTAATAATGGAGCTGCAAAGGGATGGAAACATCAATCAGGAAGCTGAGGAAGGAGTAAAGTGAAGGTGTACAGCTAGTTATTGGCTAGTAAGTGTTTGTTTTCTTTTTTACCTTAGAGCTGAAGTTAAAAAGCACAAATGACAAATGCAACAGTGACATCCCGAGCCTCACCAGCCTGTCAGACAACAACATCCAATACCTTCTGAAATTCAATTGCATTGTTATAAAGGCTAACATCTGACCAAAGCCTGTTTGATGTGTTAAGAAGATGGTAAAGAATGACACCTATATTACGCTTCAAACAAATAACTTTAAGGATTGATGTGTATGTTTGCTTTTTTCTTGCAATTAGGTTAGATCAGGAGTTAAACAGGTGCAAGGACAACATATCTGCCAGATTGCAGCATGTGCAGCTTGTGTAGGAAATACTAAAACACCCACTATTATATTGCATCTTTCACTGCCATCTTCTAAATATCTTGAATCGGTTACAATTTGTCAACTAGAGTCTGCACATCAAAACGAATCTGAACTAGAGGATAAAGAAAAAGTCGCTCAGGTCAACAATTTAAGGTTTTTAAAGTGTAGATGTTTTCTACCTCAGTTATCTTGACTTTTGCAAGGGTTTTCAGACCTTCTTTGTACTGTTCAGTGGTTTCAAACTTTTCTTCTCTTTCAAGCTGAACTCATAAAAGCTCCTATGCTTCCCCCACATAGGTGTTTTCGCTTGACTTCCCTGACCTCTTCTGTAGTCACATCTGATTTTGCTCCTAATTTGTCTCGGTGTGGAACAGGTTTACTTCTTGATAACCAATTGAACCTTATCTGTTTGCTGAGTTCCATCACATTGCATTTTGACACACAAAATCCAAGAGAATAGATTGTTTTTTTTACATTTGTTTTTATATAATTTCATTGCAGGGCCTTTAACCAAGACCAGATGAAATAGTCTAGTGTTTTTTTAAAGTGAAAAGTTCAATTTCTGTCATATTTGCGTAGATGTCCAGCCAATCCATAGTTTGCCATCAACTTTTATAAAAAATAATAATATATAATAACTACAAACCTGAACTAAAATCTGTAATATTTATGAGTCTTAAAATGTTTTTCAGTACTTATCCTCCTGTGTGTGAGTTCAGTAAAGCTGATTCTCATAAACTCTGATTTTAGCTGTTTGTGCAATCCCAGAATGATACAAAATCACTGGTATGCAAAGTCCCTTTCTTTTTTGAGAGAGTATGTTGGTGTTTGCTCCGGGTGGAATGTGTTATGTTTTGAGTTGCGTGCTGTGTTGCAAGCTAATCTGTATTTGGCTCGGGTCAGGGTGTGTGTGGTGTGGAGGTTGTGGCCTCCTGCTTGATCCACTCAGGAGAAAGGTCAGGGTCATACTAACCTCCTGAGGCATTCCCGCACCTATGGTAAACACATTCTCGAAAACATGACACAGTTACACAGGAACTAAATCAAGTTCTCATTATCAATTTGACATATATGACATATATACAAACTAAGGCAAGAGTAAAATACCTGCCCATCCTTAAAATGCTGTTTGTTTGAAGCAACCTAAAATAAGGAATAACAAAATATTATATAATATGTTATGAACTATTTCAGTCAGCCTCTCTGTTTTCTCTCTTATATAGCTGGATTATTGCACTAATCCTTTACCACTATAATCCTCACTTCACTGAAGGCGATTGTAATTCTGAAGTCAGGTCTCAAATTAGCAAACAACGAATAGGATTAAATCATTTAAAGATTTTAACCTCCTAAGCCCCTAACTAAGGCTGGTTGCTGACCCTTTTATGTGCTTAATTCCCTAAATCTGTTTGAAAACCACATCTTCATGTACGCAGGTTTTAAAATTCCTGACTTCAAAAAGATTTTCTTATAAAATAAAAAAGAGCCATCTAAACAGCAACCAAGTGTTCTACTTATTTTTAAGTTTCCCTCACTCTACATCATTTATGTTAATGGTTAATCCAAGCAATAAATTAGACAATTTCTTAAAATGAGTTTGGCCACCTTTCTATTATTTATCATTATTATTATTTAATTTATTTGTTACTGTCATAACACATTTTTTCAACAGATATTACAGTCTTTATTTTGATAATCTCTTCAACTGTGATTCTTAAGGATTACTGACATTGTTATTGATGTATGTAGTAGTTTGAATGTGATTTGTCACATTCAAACTAGTACATACAATCATCTTTCCACGCAAACCAAAGTTAGCCATGGAGTGCCACAGGGCTCAGTGCTCGGACCTATTTTGTTCACATTATATATGCTTCCGTTAGGCAATATTATAAGGAATCATTCTGTAAACTTTCATTGTTATGCGGATGATACTCAACTATATTTATCAATCAAGCCTGATAAAACTAATCATCTAAATAAAATTCAAGACTGCCTCAAGGACTTAAAAACGTGGATGACCTTACATTTTTTGATGTTAAACACGACCAAAACTGAAGTTATTGTACTTGGCCCAAAGAATCTACGAAACAAATTATCTAAAGATATACTAACTATGGATGGCATTATTTTGGCCTCCAGTGAGACTGTAAAGAATCTTGGTGTTATATTTGATCAGGATTTATCCTTTAACCCCCACATAAAATCAATTTCAAGGACCGCCTACTTCCATCTACGTAACATTGCAAAAATCAGGCATATCTTGCCTCAAAACGATGCAGAGAAAATAGTCCATGCATTTGTTACTTCAAGGCTGGATTATTGTAACTCCTTATTATCAGGGTGTACCAAGAAGTCAGTCAAGTCGCTTCAGCTGATTCAAAATGCTGCAGCTCGTGTACTAACCAGGAAAAGGGACCACATTACTCCTGTTCTGGCTGCCTTACACTGGCTCCCTAAGAACACAGGATAGAATTTAAAACTCTTCTTCTCGCCTACAAAGCGCTTAATGGGCAGGCGCCATCTTACCTTAAAGAACTCATTATACCCTACTGTCCTACTAGGGCATTGCGTTCCAAGAATGCAGGGTTGTTGGTCGTTCCTAGAGTCTCTAAAAGTACAATGGGAGCCAGAGCCTTTTCTTATCAAGCTCCACTTTTGTGGAATCAGCTTCCAGTTTGTGTTCGGACGGCAGACACCCTATCCGTTTTTAAGAGTGCGCTTAAGACCTTCCTTTTTGATAAAGCTTATAGTTAGGGCTGATTAGATTCAGCCCCTAGTTTTGCTGATATAGGCTTAGTTTGTCGGGGGACATCTTACTTCTTCCTTCTCTCTGTCTATACCTGTGTACTCTCATTTTTCCGATTAACCCAGCTTCCCCAAATTTCTTTCTTTTTGGTGTCTATATACGCCGGGATCCGGAGTCATGGATGATCCTGCGGTCCTGTGTCATGGATCGCGAGTCCTGGATCTTGAGTCGTGGCTGTGGTCCTGGATCATAAGTCCTGGATGGATATCCTCGTGGATTCATCTTCCTATTATACACACATGCATTTCCAAACATTTGGACTACCTATGTTGCAAATGTATTATCTTTTCAATTTACACACGGCATCTATTGCACGTCTGTCCGTCCTGGGAGAGGGATCCCTCCTCTGTTGCTCTCCCTGAGGTTTCTCCCATTTTTCCCTTTAAACTGTGGGGTTTTCTCCGGAAGTTTTTCCTTGTACGATGTGAGGGTCTAAGGACAGAGGGTGTCGTATTGTCATACTGATATTCTGTACAAACTGTGAAGTCCACTGAGACAAATGTAACATTTGTGATATTGGGCTATATAAATAAACATTGATTGACATTGATTGATCTGTGTGTAACTCTCTCACTATTAAAATAATAGTGAATGAATTGATGAATACACTACTTGCCATAGTTTAAAGCCTAGTTTTATATTGTTGACTCTAAACAGAAGTTTTAAATTGCCTTTTATCTTCACTAGCACATAACTACATTTCATCTGTTGTGACTTGATAAACTTCAAAGTGTTAGAGCTCTATAATGGAAAAAGTGATGCATGCAATCCTTAAGTTAATAACTCTTTAAAATATATAGTTATATATATAGTTATATAAGCCTTAACCTACAACTAATTTATGAGAACTAAAGACAATTACACCATCGTCTTACATCAGTACTTTCTGTAAATGTAGCTTAAAACATTTAAATGTGGCTTAAATTGAAAACTGATCAGATTTCAGGTAGCATCAACTTCTCCTTACGTGACATGTTACCCTTTACAACAGCAGAGGACTGCTTTCAAGCTCTTGTCTGTAAATGCAGCCTTTGGCCTACATGCAGACATGTCAGCAGTTCAGCAAATGATCTGGATCGTGGTCATTAGGCCGTTGCCCTCAGTTGTATCTGTCATTTAACCATTTGGCCTTTTGGCGATGTATGCGCATCCAGTGTGACTCCCACCTGAGTGACCTAGTCCTCGAAGGTCAAAGGTCAAGGCCTTGTTAGATATGTTTATGACGATAGCCAGGGGTCAAGGACTGTGTTTGTCTGTCTGGTGACAAGAGAGGAAACAAGGGATAGGATTCCGGTAATAGGTGAAAGATGAGAGTGGTGATGAAAGGAGGGGTTATCTGGTTCTTCACAAAGCGTATCGATCTGTTTGTGTTTCAATGTGGTGAACGGGTTTGTTGGCCGCAGTCCCAGCAGAAGTGCTGAGGTATCGGCTGCATTACAGTGGAAGTGTCGGTGCAGAGGCTGCATTTAAATTAGGGTTGAAGAATTTGAGGTCAGCTTTTGCGGTCTCTTTTTGTAATAATAGCCAGTGGCTATAAAGCCCAAAAACACAGAGGGCTTGTGAACCACATGAAAGGAGAACTTTCAAGTCATAAATCTTCAGCAACTAACCTACAAAGTGTGCTGGTGCTGCCCTCGTGTGGTCGTCTTGAAGTACTACCTTATACATCCCCCAACGTTGAAAAAACAAACACCTGTCATAAATTAAGAACGAAATTCTACACATCACTTTATTGCTGGAATTACACAGTATGGGATCTGGAGAATATAAAGTGTTGAGGAAGTATGTTCGGTTCGGTTTGTTTATTAGATAGATTATTCTGACAGTAATCAAGTTTGTTAACTGATGCTGTATATACTTCATGGAGCATTTCATCACAACCACACACACAAAACAAACAAAAACAGGTTACGGTCAGTGAGAGTAACTGCTGTAACTTCAACAGTAGAAAGAGCTTAAATCTTTAAATATCTGTGAAAGGGACACCAAGACTTTGTCTGAGGTTATCTCCGAAAATGTATATTAGGAATAAACAAATATGTGACCCTTCACTATATTTTTTGCATTATGTCAGAGGGATAAAAAAGTAATTCACAAACAGGAACAGTCAAGTTCATGTTATACCTAAGTATATATACATGTGCATTTCTTTGGGATTAGTACATTTGGTTCATGTGATGTGAGAAGTGAAAATCCTTTAACACATAGCTGTTATACGCAAAGGTGATTTTTGTTTGGTCTATTTCACCACTTCCAAATCCTCTCATATGTACACACACGCACTCACGCACACACACACGCACACACACATACACACGTACACACACACACACACACACACAGGCACACAAATGCTCTTTCAGTGCTGTTTTGGATGATAATAAGGCGCTGATTGTCAGATGTTTTGGGGATCAATGGAATCTTAGATACACTCAAGTCCAACATATTCTCATAAATCTTATAAATAAAAATGGACTTAATAACACACAAAGTATTTCAATAATGACCTGAGGAGAGTATGTTGAACTATGTTAGAGGAATGCATTATATTTACAACAGAGTGATTGTTATATATCTGTGTCTGCAACATAATGGTGATTAAGCAAATGACAAGCGTATGTAACCAGTGGTAAGTCCCACCCTTTACATTAGTATGTGTAAAAAAAGTTAAAATCTAGAATACAATGTGGCTATATCTTTGAATGCTGTGGCATTGGCAGGAAAAAGATAAAACAATGGAATAAGGCAGATAAGTAAGATTGAATAGCACCTGACTCACACAAAATGAACACCAGCTTACCAGTTTAGGGGGCATGTACTCAGTGCAGTGGTAAACTTAGTGCAATTCATTAGAGACATAATGTTATCATGTTGTTGTGCATCAATCTGAAGGCTGCTTGGTCTCCGTGTTCTGGTTGTTAATGTTTCAATCTCCGGCTGTTTTAGCAAACCTCTGTCCCTCTCCTGTCACATGCAGGGAAATAGCACCATCATATGAAAACCGCAAGTTAAGCCAAGTCAAAGACGTCAGCGCCCACAGGATTCCTTGCAGGTTAGGAAGGAGGAATCTTTATGTATATGTCCTCTTCATGCACACCTGACAGCGGCTTATGTGTGTTCGGAGACTTCCGGCTTTTAGCGTTGTTGGGACAGGTTTCCTGAGGTAGGGAGAAAAACATCAGAAGTCCACCTTTATTACCAGGCTCATAATGTAAACTTGATCAAAGTTAAACATACTGAAGGTCAGCAAAACAAAGATTTTCTAGGGGTGTTAAGTTACTATTTAATGTGAAATTCAATGTCTGAGCGTTTTGTCTTACGTAAACATATCCTCGTCTTCAATGGTGGCAAGCCAAAAGCTGTAGGAGTTAGCATAGTAGTTGCAGGTTCCACGACCGTGACACTCGATGAAGGGAGCACTGCGGAACTCCTCCATACAGGAACCAGGAGACGCCAGAGCCTGGCCGGAGCCCTCTGCACCGGCACTGGTGTGCTACAATAACACACAAAGAAAACTGCTTACTAACCAAATTAAATACATTTTGAAGACAGTTATTGTTTGATTTTGTAAAGACAGAATGTTTAAATGCAAAGAAAATGTTCTTCACTGACACTTTAATTCTAGATTTGTGATTAGCATGTGTGTTCTGACGTTGGCAGGAAATATGAAGAAGGTTAGAGAGATTTATATTTACATTAGCTGCTCTCCATCTACTATTCCTCTTAATTGTGTAATTAAAAAAATTGACCTCAAAAAAAATTAACAAAAAAAAATTCACGACATATGTGAGCACTTCTTTCCACACGTTCCTGAATCATTACTCCTCTGGCTTGGTTGAAGTATTGGTCGTGCACGGGCAAACTGAATGTATTCTTGGGATCAGATACTGTCTGTCTTACCATGACGAAAGAGTATCCAATCCATAGAGAGTCCCAGCCATGGGGGCATGATGGGATCATGATGGTCTGACTGTGAACCGCTATCACCATGGCTGGAGCTTCACACACAGAACATCTGTCCACACACACACAGGCACACACAGGAACAAAGTATGTTAAGGTCAAAAGAGTATCAAACATTTGCATTGTCAATCAACATTTAGTTAGAAAGTACAACATTTGCCCAAATTAACAGGACTTCCGGTATAAACCGTGTAAAGTTCTCGTCTTTTATCAGAATACAGATCCAGAGATGGTTAATCTGTTGGTTGATCAGATGATGACAACCCTGTACACCTCTAAACGATAGAAATGCTGACAAACCTGCTGATGAAGGGTTTGATGCCTTGACCGGTGATAGGTGCCATGTTCATGGGCATTGGCTCAGGGGAGGTGAGCCAGTAGGAGTAATCGTTACGCGAGGCGAAGTTGCACACATTGTTGATGTTGCAGAACAGGAAGGGCATGGGGCTGAACTTCCTCAGACAGCTGCCGGCCGTACCTAAAACACAGAGCGAGTAGACATGTCATTAATCCCCAAAAACCTTTGTGATTGCCTTTATCTTACTCCTTTATATTTTCCTCTCTTGCTGTGTTATTTACCCAAGTCCTGTCCATGTGAGCGTTCGTTGCCTTGTACGTAGAGCAAGGAATAGCCGTCATATATGAGCCGGGTTCCCTCAGGACAGGTTGGAACCTCCACCGTTTGGCTGTGGCGGGTTACCAGGAACCCGTGATCCATGGATGAGGGCCCGGTGTGACCAATTTGACCTGGAACACCATCAGGTCCTGGGGGGCCAGGGTGTCCTCTGGGTCCTAAAGACATCAGGTGATTAATGAGGAATGACAGCGACAAGACAGCAGTTCTTACCCACACCATTCATCCCGATGTGTCTCTCACCCTGTGGCCCTGGAAGACCAGAGTTTCCCTTGGATCCAGCCTGACCATTATATCCAGGAATGCCATCTTCACCTTTTGGCCCTTGAACACCTGTCACACCTGAGAGAGAAAGAAAACGGCAATATAGAATTAGGAAAAATGGATAGGGAGGACAAATGAGCAGGTGAAGTTGTTGGGATACACAATTTTAAGCAAAACGTCACCTTGATGTCCTTTTTGTCCAGGGAGCCCATATGGCCCCTGGGGACCCGGTATGCCCTGAGTACCTGGAAACCCAATGTCTCCTTTGATGTAGGTGTGAGGGCCAGGGGGACCTGGGGGGCCATCAATGCCTGAAATATACAGTCTAGTGTTTAGACAACATTTTTCAGATGATCATTTTGGTTCTGATATGATTTGTAATATATGTTGTTATGATTTCTGTAATTGAGACAGAGATAGTTTTGAATATAAACAGACTGAAGCGTTTCCCCTTTATATTTACCCTTCTCTCCTTGGAATCCATTGTCTCCAAGTTCTCCTTTGAATCCAATGTCACCCCCTTGACCCCTTGTACCTAGAGTTTGCATTCAATAAGAGTGTATTTTAACGTTTGTATTGTACTCACATTCCTTTCAAGATTCATGAAGGCAAACACATTGTATGTACTCACCTGGGAAGCCAGGGACTCCCGACAATCCACTCTCTCCCTTCTGTCCAAAAAGACCTGGAAGGCCATCTTGTCCCTGTAAAACAAACACAAAGTGTAATGAAATCAGGACTGACATGCACAACTAACACAACATGTACAGAAAAAAGTCAAGGGAAACGTACAGGGAGTCCAGGAGTTCCAGCATCACCCTTATGTCCCGACTCTCCCTGGAAACCAGGCTGACCCTGGCCTCCTTTGTCTCCCTTAGGGCCCCCTCTGCCTGGCACACCAGAGGTCCCTGGTACTCCTGGAGATCCTGTTTGAAAAAGTTAAGAAGACGAATAAAACCATAGATAATGAAAGCTTTAGCGCAAGTTCAATAAGGAAGACCTAACCATGAGTTACTTACACGTCACTCTATTGCTCTCGCCCCCCTCATTAAACATGTGGGCGTCACCCATCAGCAGCCAATTGCTGCACACGTTAAAATCCTTAAATGCCTGCTCTTCCTTCCTGTCAGTTGTCATTTCAGGTGACCACACGCAACCCTCCTCCACCCCTCTCGCCTCCCGTCTCCTCCAGGACAAAGCTAACCTTCCTCCTCCAGACCGGTCCCACCTACTTATCACCACCACCAGTGTCTAGACCCCGGGGATTTACATCGGAGCGGTTCTTTCCCTCCTGAATGATTATCCTGCAAACCGGGGCCTAATCGCCAAACACCATTCCATTCTCCTGTTGTATTATCATGGCAATTATTTCATTTATATGACGTGTAACAATAAATATGTATTCCATACATCACGTCTCTCCGGTTTGAAATGTTATTCTATTCAATATAATATGCCTACATTTAGGAGGTTCTCATCAACATAATACATTTTTGATCTGTCATGTGTATGGCATACCTGTTACTCCGGTTTGTCCTGATGCTCCCGACTCTCCCTTAGGGCCCTCGAGGGAGTTACCTGGGTACCCCCTCTCGCCTGCCTCGCCCTGGGGTCCGTGTGAGCCTGAAAGTCCCTTGTCTCCTTTGATACCAGAGACGCCAGGATGACCTGGAGTGCCAGGGAAACCAGGACTGCCTTTGTCACCTGGATAGGGAGAGACGATGCCACATGATGAAACTCTGATTGAGTGACTGAGGGAAGATATGGAACTTTGTTGCAAAGACACTGACCTTTGCCACCAAGCACTCCAGGAGATCCAGAGAAACCTTGGCCAGATAAACCTGCAGGAGGTGGGGGGAGAAAGTAGTACCTTACAGTAAGTCTCTAAAAAATATGTATTATGGGGGTCTGCAGAGGAAAACAACTTAAATGTACCCCTTGTCTGCTGATATTAGTTGTTATATATTACCATAATAGGAGAATGCACTGCTACCTGAACCCCTGACTTTAGGTGATGGGTGGTGTTTGACTACTTAATCAAGTGTTTGTGTTTTCCGGTCAAATGTGCTTGCACTGGTTAAGAGTGCTTGTTTGAAGCTTAATTTGAATATCCCGAGGCAGAGTATGGCTGTATGATATTAGATGAGGCTATTCTATGTGAAAGCGTATCAAAAAACAAGGAAATTATTTAGTCTCTTCTTAACTCCCCAACACTAACCTGGGTCTCCTCTTTCCCCTGAGGATCCTGGGATGCCATCTATTCCAGGATCTCCCTTCACTCCAGGAACACCAGGAGGTCCCTGCAAGCCGCCTTCCCCTGAAGGAGAAGATGTGATTTTTACCATTTACCAGGATGGCAAAGTTCTTACAGACAAATCCCAGTGAACAAAAAAACTGATCACATTACTGATGATTACAGTGATTGATGTTAGCATTTATCAGATTAGTTTAATAAATAGATGATGTTACTTACCAGGGCGACCATCAGGACCAGTTTCTCCTGCAGACCCCGAGAGCCCAGGAGTTCCCTTCTCACCTGGTCTACCTGACTGACCTGCACACACACACACACACACACACACACACACACACACACACACACACACACACACACACACACACACACACACACACACACACACACACACACACACACACACACACACACACACACACACACACACACACACACACACACACCAAAATATTATCCATCTATCCAGTGTGTTAAAGACTTATAGGATAGAAGAAACAGCACAGACTGAAATCTGACCTGAATACCCGACGCTTCCCTTGTCTCCCTTGGTTCCTTGCAGTCCTGCATTGCCGGACATCCCCTCGTGACCCTTCAGACCCCTCTCTCCTGCAGTTCCTGGGAATCCGGGCTGGCCTGTCTGACCCTGTGAGAGTTGAGGAGAGGAGAGGAATACTATGTAAAGACTAATAAGACACTGATCACTAATGAGGAACAAATTCAATTTGCAAAACTATATATATACTATATTGCATTAAAACCAACAAACAAACTAAGGCTGAGTAGTTTTGAAAATAAATACTATTGTAATTTGTTAAGGAAATAATTATTCTAACATTACAATTGTTATTTTCATTAACAAGACCTATTGAAATAATGATTTTTGCAGGGGTCTGTACCACACAAAGATGGTTTCTTCAGTCTGTATACATATGTCTAGAAGTATATGCAGCAACGATTTTGAATTTCGTGTTGAGTACATTTTGTAGCTCTTAGTTTACATTCATTCTTCTGTACACTGTAGGTATATTCATAGGTTGTGTAACATTAGAACATTTTAGTGGCTGTTGGTTTTTACAAGATAGAGTTTTGATTGTGATTATTTTCCTAGGTGTTTCATGACCACCCAAGCCTGGCAAGAGCTACAACTACCAATGGCGAGTGTTAACAGGATGGGCAGTTAAATATAGAGAGCCACAGTATCATTTTGAGCTCCTTTTCGTGTGTCTAGTGTTCTCAAACATAATATTTATTATAGCCAATGATTACCTTTTCTCCTGGAGTTCCTGGGAGCCCAATACCTGGGTCACCACCTGTTCCCTTGTCACCTTTCTGTCCATCTGTGCCTCTGAATCCGGTATGTCCTGTTGTACCAGAATCTCCTTTACTACCCTGTGGACCAGACAGACCTGCACAAACACACACATAGGCCGAAACATGCAGATTAATAACAAGAGTCTAATTTCAAATGCATTAAAAAACGTTACTCACAATTGAATATAACATTTTGATTTTCCCTTGCTTGAAATACTCTCAATACAGCTGTTTATACTTCAACTGTTGCTGGACAAGATGTTATGTTTGTAACACACATGATACATGTTTGCACAAGCATTTCAATGACACACACTTTGTTAGTTTCATTTGTGCAATCTTACCGGGGATTCCCATCTCTCCTACAGTGCCTTTCTGTCCAGGTTGTCCGAAATTGCCCGGCTCTCCAGGAAAACCAGAGTCTCCTTTCTCACCTGAGACAGATCAGTGAGAGTCATGGATCAATATCTAATTTATTTTCGCTTTATTTTTACTGGGTGATGAAGCAAGTGTAGAGTGGAATGGACCGGAGAGTTAATTTGAATAGAACATATAGAGATGGTAAACCAATGTCTACATAGTTTAAATATCCTATAAAGAAATGTAAAAAAAATTGAGGTTGCTGTTCATGTGCTCACCTGGTTGGCCAGGTGATCCAGACTCTCCATTTTTGCCTGACATTCCAGGGTTACCAGGAAGTCCTCGGTGGCCTTTCTCTCCAGTGCCCCCCGAGTCACCTGATAGGAACATTAATGAAACATCACATTGACTTATTTCTTAAACAATGGCTAATTGGAAAGAATTAACGGAACTGCTTGAAATGAATCAACGCATATTCTCTCATTGAGCAAAGGGCCAGTATGTTCATTTTCACCTCTGTTTCCAAGGTCTCCCTTCTCCCCCTTCATGTGCTCCATGTCCACTTCACTCATGTTTCCAGGAGGACCCTGCAGACCTCGATCTCCCCTCTCTCCTTTGAGTCCTGAGTCTCCAATACCACCTCTTGGCCCAGTAATACCTGGATCACCTGAGAGCAACGGTAGAAAGATACATTGTTATTTCTGCTAATAAATCTTTCTATTTAAACTTGTAAAGCATAATCTGTATGACCAGTATTATGAAGGCTGTAGAGCAAACTATACTTAGATAAATAGAAAATAAGGTTTTCCTTACCTATCAGTCCATGAGATCCAGACGTACCAGGTGGTCCAGGAAATCCTGGTATTCCCGGTGTCCCTATGACACCCATTTCACCTTTAATACCTGTTTAACAAAAAGACACATTACTTCCACAGTAGTAAGAGCAGTGTGTGCTTTAAAAAGGCAAAATGAAACATTGCTATTAATTAATGAAGGTTGTAGAAATGTACTTGTTTATGATAATATAAGGAACTGACCTTTTTCTGTGTGTGCAAGTGCTACAATTACAAAACAAGAAAAATACAAGAAAATCACACATCAGTCAGTCTCACCTTGTGTTCCAATGAGTCCTTCCCTGCCAGGTAGACCTGCTCGTCCGGGCAGTCCTTTATATCCTGACGTTCCTGGGAACCCGGATTGTCCCTTCGCTCCCTGAGGCCCCGGCATGTCCAGACCAGGAGAACCGGGGTAGCCCTTGTCTCCCTTTACACCTCCTCTACCTATTCAGCATGCACACACAGAAATATAACACCATACATGAAGTCAGGTGAGGCAAATGAGGGGTGTGTTTCAGTTTCACATTTTGAATGGTGAATCAGGAACATCTCGCATGTCACAGAGAAAATCACATAGCTTTGTTTCTTTCAACTGTCTATTCAAGTGTCCATGCAATCACAATACCAGGAAACTGAAGGAACTATAATTAATGAAGGCATTATTAATCTTATAATTTACACCTGTACTTTTCCCTCAGGGAATGTTTGGATGCTGAGTTTGTGCTTACCATGTGGTCCGGACTCTCCAGCTGGTCCTGGTGGTCCGGGGGCTCCGGGTGAACCTTTACCTGGAGAACCTGGCACGCCGACCAGTCCAGGAGGTCCTGGGACTCCCACATCACCTAATTTTGACCATAACAAAGAAAAACAATGTTTTACTTGCTACAGGAGATGGGCATTTTAACTCTGTGGCATGGACTACATCCAACCAAGCTTAACACAAGCAATGTTGTAAGCGTGATGCAGTACCTTGGATTCCCTGATCTCCCGTAGGTCCAGTCTGGCCTTCTAGTCCAGGAATACCAGGTCGTCCAAAGCCACCCTTATCTCCCGGGAAGCCAGTAATTCCTGGTTGGCCTTGCGAACCTTTTGGGCCTGGAAGACCTCGCCCTGGCTCACCCTACAGAGTAAAAAATATAATCTCTGATTTGCATCTCCACTCTCCCAACAGTTATTTTACATGAAATACAATTCTCCCATTTAACCATGTCCATACGTTTTGTATTGTATAACATAGCTGTTGGAAGCACTCCGATAGACTTGTCTAATGCTCTCTCATGTTCCTAAAATCAACTCAACTCATCAGAACCAGAATACCTCAGGTCCCTTGTTGAGTCACTTTCACATTGTGTGGCCATTGTGTTACCTTAATATCCAACTGTATGAAATTAAATTAGGATCAGAATACATATACAGAAAAATACACACTTTTGGTCCAGGTGTACCACTTTGTCCAGTCAAGCCATCCTGTCCACCTCTTCCTGTCTCTCCTGATAATCCTGGAGCTCCTGGTAATCCATTGATTCCTAGAAACATGGTCAAAACATTTCCTCTTAGTGTCGTCCTGTTAATGTACAAACACTTCTGTGATGCATCAACAGATTTGAGGAATAGGTCAAACTTTTTTCACTTTTTTTTAAACTATTCCTTTCTTTTTGCATTTACTTTTAATATTTACTTGCACTATATTTTTCTGTTTTTCTGTAATATTGTGTTGCACTGTTGGAGAAGCCTGTGACCCAAGATTTTCATCGACATAACTACTATGTAGCTATGGTTGTATGACTAATAAAGAACCTTGAAACTTTAACCTTGAAACATGGAGTAACATACCTTTAGGACCAGTTGGACCAGGTAATCCAATACCCTGGGGTCCATATTCACCCTTCTGTCCTGGGAAACCGGGCAACCCTCGATCTCCCTGAAGGCCTCTGTCACCTGCAGCCAGCACCAAGACACAAGGTAAACCGGACCACTCGCTAACAATCAGCACATATATGTGATTCGTCAGAATTTGTTTTGTTTTTTCTGTAATAAGGTTGCTTAAACTCTGCTCCTCCACCCAATTTTAAACATATTTAATTGATAAAACACACGCTTAAGTTCATTGATTGATCCTGATACAAGCAACTTATTTCAAATAATGTATTAAGAATACCTTTTATAGGTGTCTAAATGAGTTCAAATTCAAACATGTTGACTGGTGTTGCTGCTCACCTTGAAGTCCAGGAATGCCAGTTTCGCCGTGTGCTCCAGGTACTCCCTGAGGTCCAGCCGTGCTCTCACCTTGACCTGGCTCACCTTTAACACCTGGTGAATGCAAGGTTTATGTTATACATGAATTCATGTTCATTAGGTTTGTATTTATGCATTATCAGAGAGACTTTGTTCAGATGTGCATTTGAGATTGAAATGTCCAACTATATGAGTTCTCTCTGTGGATATCTCATGCCTACCAGGTTGTCCAGGAGTTCCAGGAGTTCCGTGCCTTCCATGACCACCTTTCTCTCCAGGCTCTCCAGTTCGACCGAAGCCAGGCTGGCCCGGTGGACCCCTCTCTCCTGGAGGCCCGATCTGACCAGTGTTCCCATCTTGTCCACGGTCACCCTTTATGCCCTCCCTGGCCTGAAATAAATTAACCGATTGTCAAATATACTTTGATTTAATGTTGGCAATACATTTATTAACAAAATGTTAATCTAGTGGAGCTGTCCTAATATTCTATATTTTTCGAACACACACACTTACCGATTCTCCTTTGTGGCCTTGTATACCAGGGAAACCATCTCTCCCCGGCTGTCCATCCAGGCCGGGCCTCCCTGGAGTACCAGAAAGACCAGGCAGACCTTTCTCTCCTTTCAAACCATCAACTCCAATAACGTCCCCTGGCTTGCCAACAGCACCAGTGGCTCCAATCAACCCGGGAGAACCTTGAGAACCCTGCACACGAGTTGATTAAAATATATCTCAACCTCAATTAAATGAAGGATAAACTCTGACAACAATTTTTCCCAAGTGTTGCAGACATTATTCTACTTACAGGATTTCCAGTTTGTCCAGAAGAGCCAGAAGTACCCTTTTGTCCCTTCCCTCCTACTGGCCCTGGAGGCCCTGCCGAGTGAAAATGGAAAGTTGTACATATTTCATACTCAATATTCATCATTGTTTGTTTTTGTTTTGTTTTTAAGTCAGTTTGTTGAACATGTCAGGAACAAAAACATACAACAATAATATATATATATATATATATATTCTCTCTTTTTCCCCTTTTCTTTTCTCACTGAAATTAATAATTATAACAAAGTTGCCCTGGGTCTTTGCAAAAAAATTCTGAAAGAAGACGGGTACAAACTTCGTACTGTCCTGATAAACTGTCCTAATTAATAACAAAAGAAAAAGAAAAAACAATAAATTAATAAAAGC